CGCTTTGGCCCACGATGCCAGTTCTGATTCAGGGACTCCATCCCTGTTAGGCAAACGAGAAAGGGAGGCTGCCCCTCCGCCTTCAAGCGGAGAAAGTTCAGAAAGTTCATGCGACCAGGATGGGAAAAAATGGCAAACGGCTCGATGCTGATTCCATCAGGGAAGCTAGCAGCATTCTATCAACAACTTTACGCAATCAATGTGTGTGGGTGTGTTCTGAGACTTCTTGTGCAAACTGATACAAACTGATGTCCGTTGTCAATTCTTCGATGCTATCTTCCAATCTCAAGCCGGCGCAACAAGTCTTGCGTGAAGCCCCTGGACAAAAAAATGACTCTCCCTCTCTCGAGCCTTGCTAGCCTTGCTAAACGCTGTCTTTCTTGCTTTCTTTAGATATCAGCCTCAGTGGTGACTTTGGTCTGAGGCTCTTCCTTGCTTGGTGGGGCCTTGCCAACCATGTAGTAGCAGACACCGATGATAGAATCCAAAGACTCGTGAATGGGAAGCACGATGATCACGAAAGTAGCCACAAAGCTCCATGCAATGCTGATGAAGACCCAGAAAGCAAAGTAGTCTTGGGTGAAGACGCCCGCGGGTAACGAGAGCAAAGGCCAGAAGAGCACCATGATGATGGTAAAGCCCCAACCCCACTTCTGAATCCACCACTTCGCCGCATCCAGAAATTCGTTGGTGTAATCTTGTTCGTCCAAGCCGCTCATGTCCTGCTCCAACATCTCGATCTTGCCCATGGACTCAAAATCATAGTTCTGAGGACTCATGAAAGAGAAGGCCGCATGGATCAAAGCGGAAGATGCCAAGGCCACAATGTTTCCGGCCAGATTCGGGTTCAAGGTGCCCAGGTTGTCTACTGTGATCTCTCCAAACTCCGCTTGACACACGATCAACCAAGTGGACAATGCCAAGATCATCCCACCCCATGCAGCCACAATGTTGCATTGGCTTTCTTCCACATCAGCAGATTCCAAAGCGGCACCACTGCTGAGCCAATCGCATTGCCCATGAACTGGTAGACCCAGCCGAGATTCAGGCCCATGTAATTCAAGGCCACTCCCAGGCCACCCATCAGAAGACCAAACACCACGACAACCACCTTGGAAACCAAAAGCGCTTGTTTTCCGGTGCATTGAGGATTGATGTAAGTCTTGTAGATGTCGTATGTCACCAGGGAGGAGACAGCAATGCCTTCGGCCGATCCAGTCGAAGTGATGGCCATGAACAGCATCACCGCCATCATCACAGAGCCAAAGCTACCAAAGAGATGAGTGGCCACTGCCGGTGGGACCAAGCCAGCACCAGCCTCCGCAGATGAGATGGGAAGCTGCAACGCAACCGCACACAATCCCAAGGAGGTAGCCAAGGCAAAGGGAATGGTGAACCAAACAAGGCCTCCCAACAAATATCCCTTGTGAGCACTGGTGGGTTTGGCCGCAATGGCTGACTGCCAATAGGATTGATCCACGAACACCGTGCCGAAGTTCCCGACGATGTTGATGATGCCGAACTTGGTACCGCCACCCGACAACATGGTCAAGTAGGAACCTCCTTCATTCTCCGAAACCGGGCCGCAGGCATATTTACCTTTCTCAAAGAAAGTGCTGGTGCCCTGGCTGAAGATTTGCTGACATTGAGCTTCCGTGTAGCCTGCGACCGTCTGCAATCCGGTGTAGATCAGGTCGGACGAGAAGTTCTTCACGTAGACGGTGTACACGCACACCACCAACACAATGAAGATGATAGCTGTGTGGAGATAAGAAGCCATGAAGGTTGCTTTCAAGCCACCGGCTGCTGTGTAAAGAATCACACCCCATGGGATCAAGAAAGAAGCCAAGTTGGTGTCCACACCAGTCAGGGCGTTCACAGTGGCAGCACCACCCAGCAGCAACATGGAGGTCACAATCACATTGGCCATCAATGCAAAGCAGAGAAAAGTGATGTGAGCTCCCTTCCCCCAACGAGCCAAGACCATCTCACACACGGTGTGTGCAGTGCGTGCTCTTCGCTTCACTTCAATAGCCAAGATACCAAAGAGAAGCACTTGGATCGTGGCACCACTGGCATACCAAAAAGGTCCGGACACTCCGTAGTTCCACGCCACGTTGGAGGACTGAAGTAAAGTGGCCGCCCAAGTCCACTGTGACACAATCACAGATGCCGTCAGGCCTGTCTTCACGCTGCGGCCTGCCGTGTTGAAGAATTCAGAGGTGTGCTCCGTGCCATTCGCATACTTGTCCAAGTACACCAAAACTGTGGTGACCACGGAAAAGAAGGCTCCGAAACCAAGCACGATGGCATAGCCTGACTCAATGGGCAATGGAGTGTTGTCTCCAAAAAAGCTGGTTTTGCCCACGTATTCGGCACTCAGCACCATGCTTGGTCAGGCACGTAGCGGCACCCGCTTGCTTGGCGCTCACCCTTGACAGCTAAAAATGCTAGCAGCACACGAACACCGCCTAATGTGAATGCCCTATCTTCCGGAAACAATAAAAGAAAGTTCAGTTCAATCGCCATGACGTCTTGTTTGACACAAAACTGGCATACAGATTCTCAACAAAGCTCT